TGAACATCATATGAACTTGGTTTATGGAGTTGGGTAGTCCTTTAAATGTACCTGGGAGCTTACTGGTTACTGAGTTTATTTTGCCGTAGTAGGGATTAAACCTGAAGCCTTCTACCACTGAGCTACTTGGAGTTTGTTATCCAAAGTAGGCTAAAACTTGTGATCCTTGTTTCTCAGCCTCCCAGAGGTACTGGGATTACAGGAGTGAGGTCTGGTTTGTTGGTTGGTTTGTATGTATGTGTGTATGTATGTATTTTTTTTGAAGACAAGGTCTCCTTGAAGTTCAGGTTGGTCTTGAGCTTACTTTGTAACCCAGACTGGTCTTGAACTCACAATGATCCTCCTGCCTCAGCCTTCCAAGTGCTGGGATTATAGGCATGCACCACCACACCTGGCTAAAGTCTGGTTATTAGAAGGCTGTTTCCATTCATGGTAAAGTGGCTGTAGGAGACCCCCTCAAGACTGCTTAGTCTAATCTGAGAGTCCTGATGGGGACCCTCACTCCCGTTAAACAGGCTCTTACCATGCCTCCTCCACACACACATTGCTGACTCAGAATATTTCAAAACTCGGGCTGAGGATGTAGCTGAGTGGCAGAAGCACCTGCCTGGCAAGCGTAAGGTCCTGAGTTCGATCCCCGGTACCTGCCCCCCCAAATAAATAAATAAATAAAAATATTTGAAAGCGCAAATCAAGACTGTCTCAAAAAAAGGAGAGGATTGAGAAATGTTTCTGTGTATTGAAGCCTATTGTATTCCAAAGCCCAAAACTACACAACAGCTATACAATGCAAAGAGAACATGTTTTTGTCTTTGAGAAGCTCAGTCTATTGAAAGAATTAAAATAAAAGGCCATGGTAGCTAGAAAGGAAGGGTGGCCAACTGTGCCTAAGGGTTGGAGAAGGGTTGAAAGAGGAGGTGCTCTTTCAACTGATCTTGAAAGATGAGAACAAGTATATGAGGTGGAAGAGGTGGTGGCAGTGCCTGCTGGGGAATGTGCAGCGTTGTCACTGATGTGAGTGATGGGCAGGAAGCTAGGTGGAAAGGGTGGAGCTGATCTGTAAAGGGCCTCCTGGGCCTTGTAAATGAGGTTAACAATGGGACCCCTTCTAGGTTTCTAAAAAGAATTGTCATGATCAGTTTCACTTTTTTTTTTCTTTGTCATGCTGAGGATCAGTTTTACTTTTAGAAACTTCTCAGGATGGCACAGGGTAGGGAGAGCCTCTTACCATAGAGGACTATGAGAAGCTGAACTGAACCCAAATGGGTTGGGAATATGAAAGTGGGATACTGTATGCAGAAGGTGGGGGAAGAGGTATGACTTGGACTTCCTGGAGCAGTGATGGCAAACCATTTAGAGCTGCTACACACATGCCGTAGGTTTGCCACCACTGTTCTAGAAGATTAAGTGATACCCCGAGAGTAGAGGGTTAATGTGAAGAGTCTATTTTGTTGTTGCTGCTGCTGCTGTTGTTTTGGGGGGGTATTTTTGTTCGTTTTTGGTTTTTTTTGTACTGGGAATTGAATTCAGGATCTTTCACTTGCCAAGCAGGCGCTGTGCCACTGAGCTATATCACTGGCCCTGCTTTGGTCTTTTGAGACAGGGTCTCTCTGTGTAGTTCAGTGGCGTGGAACTGTGTAGCTCAGGCTGACCTCAAACTTGTGACAGGCAGCCTGCCTCAGCCTCCTGAGTGCTGGGATTACAGGTATATGCCACCATCCCCGGCTGAAAAACTATTTTTAACTGTGCAAGAACTATAATAAAATACCCTACAATGAGCTCTGACATAGAACTGATTGTGCCCTTCATAAAATGTCTAAAATTTATACAGTACTCACCAAACTATTCAAAGAATATCAGTGGCTCTTGAAGTAGAAACAAGGATACACTTTAAGGGTATGTGGGCATGTGTACTAATTTGTTCTTCAGTAATTGATGTGAATATTTTACATGCTTTATGACATCAGTTCATTTATACCTCAAAGAGGCAGCATTTATCTCCAAGGCTGATTAGCTTACAATTAATGAGCAAGGACTCTAGAACCAGACTGCCTGGGTGCAAATCTAATTTCTGCTTTGGCTTCCTCAGCTACAAAATGGGGATAGTGGAATCTACCTGCCAGGATTTTTGTGAGGATTAACTTAATATTTTTATAGACTGTAAATGGTGCTTGGCATAGATAATAAGTTATTAATTTTTTATTACTATTGCTACTCCTAGTACTTCTGTTCATTTTTTAGATGGACTGATACTGTGCAATTTGCCTCGATTAATAAGAAACAAGACAGGCTGATGTGACTGCGCATGCCTGTAATCCCAGAACTCTGGGAAGCTGAGCCAGGAAGATTGAAAGTTTGAGCCCAGCATGGGCAATTTAGCAACTTTGTGGGACCCAGTCTCAAAAGAAAGATAAAAAGGGCTGGGGGTATAGCTCAATAGAAAAGCCTTGTGTTCAGTCCTTAGTGCCTACCCACCCACCCTCAAAAAAAAGAAGGAAAAAAACTGAGGCCTTTGAGGATTTTGTAAAACTTGTTATTTGCATTAAAGAAAGCTGGGCAAGGTAATATAATCCTAGCACTCAGGAGGCTGAGGTAGGAATATAACTGTGTTCGAGGCCAGCCTGGGCTATGTAGTGAGTGCAAGGCCAGCCTGAACTACCTGAACTACTAGTGAGTTCCTGTTTCAAAAAACAAAAAAAGAAAGATGAGAGTTTTGTTAAATTATGAAGGCTGCTATTTGCAAAGCAATGTAGTGAAAGCACCGAAGCCTAGCCACTAGACCACCAGGGACCCGCTGCAAAGTAATATAGTGGATGAAGGGCCATAAAAATATTTGCGTTCTTTAATCTGATAATTCCAGGTCTGGGAATCTGAGCTTTACAGAAAGTCTAATGTAGGGAAAATATGCCCCGTACTGAGGGTGTGGCATAGTGGTAGAGGATGTGCTTAGCATACTTGAGGCCATGGTTTCAATCCCCATCACCAAGAAAGAAAGAAGAAAAATGCTCAAAAAGATTAGTTTTAATAATACTAATGATTAGATTGGAGAGAATTAGAAAAACTAAATATCCATAGGTGCTTTGTTGCATAGGCTCACAGATGTTACTTTGTCATGAAAACAATCATTATGAGAAACATGGAGAAACAGTTTAGTGTAATACTAGGCAGAGAAACTGCCACAGGTATATATAAGGTTCTATTTTAAGAAAACCATCAACAGCCGAGTGTTGGTGGCACATGCCTGTAGTCCCAGCACCTAGGGAGGCTGAAGCAGGAGGATCATAAGTTCAAGCTCAGCCTGGGCAATGTAGAGAGACCTTATCACAAAAATAAAAAACACCAAGGACGTAGCTTAGTGTGAAGGCCTTGGGTTCAATCCCTACAAAACAAAAATAAATAAATTTAAAAAGGAAAACCATAAATTGAGCCAAAGGGAGAGGAGAGTGAATGTGGGAAGGATATTAGTAGTTTCCTTAGGAGAGGAACTATGAAATAGTCCCCTCCAACAGCTGGGGATGTACCTCAGTGGTGCATCATCAGCCTGGCAAGCACAGGGCCCTGGGTTTGATTCCTGGTACCAAAAAAAACCTTTTCTTTCGTGGTGCTGGGGCTCTATCCCAGAGCTACATGCTAGGATGCTAGGCAAGTACTCTACCACTGATCTATGACCATCAGCCCAGAACTGCCTTTTTTTTTTTTAAATCAAAATGCTTCAACACAGGAGGGCACTTCGTTATATCAAATTTTTTTAGATCTTTGCTGGGGTAGGAAAGAAGGAAAATGGACATTAGCTAAATGAAGATAAATTGGAACCATCCACCAGTGATTAAATAGGCGTGTCCTTCCCAGCACATTCTCTCAGAACAGTCCTAAGTCAGGCTTTGGTAATGGTTCGGCTGGCGAAGCCACCACCTAAAGAGGTAGAGACTCTGGATGAAGCCCAGGGTTTGTTAATCTGGTATAGAATCTGTGCTTCAGAGAAATTAAGAACAGGCAGTGTTTTGTTGTTGTTTTGTGAGTTTGGGGTTGGTTTTTTTTTGTTTGTTTGTTTTACCTTTTTGAAACAGTTTCACTCTGCAGTTCATGCTGGCCTTGAACTCACTTTGTGACCTCAAATTTTCAGTGATCCTCTTGCCTCAGCCACCCAAGTGCTGGGATTACAGGTGTGCACCACCATGCCCAGCCAAGGACGGGTAAGGTAAAATAGTTTTTTTCCAAAACTTTATGTATTTACAACTTTTCAGAATATTTCTTAGATGAAAAGCAACTTATACTGCTTTTGCACATGGAATGTTTCTGGAGAGCAAATGTATGTATAGTGGTAGGGGTTGAACCCAAGGCCTTGTACATGCTCTGCTACTGAGCCCCTCAGCTGGGACTCTGCTTTTGTAGCTGACTCCAGGGAATACATTCTGAGTCACTCAGAAAATACACACTGGTCTGTAACACAGTGAAGGCATCAGTGCCCTTGGGCTAATGCTTTAGAGATCTTGTCTGTAATTTTTGCAATGAAACTTTCACAGATATTCATTTAATAGATGATAATTCTTGTACAAGATGAAATGTAGGGTTGTTTGTTGTTGTTGTTGTTTTTAAATCTGGGAAGCAAGTAAGCCTCTTTTGGTTTTTGTATTCTGAGGAATCAGACGTCTGTCGTTTTTATGTGCCTAGGGAAATGTAGATTAGACCTGGGAGGAAGCATGTGCAGTGGTTATGACACGATCCAGCAGAAGGCAGCTACTAAGCCTGCTTCAGATTTTAAAAACAAATTCAAGTCAGGTAAAACAGTTGGGGTGTGTGTACATACGCATATGATACCAAGTTCACAAAGCCATATTCAGAATATTAATTTGTTACAGTCCAGACTGCAGAAAGTACAGTGTGACAAAACTTTGCTGTGAATAGAGAAAGAATTCATTATAAAGGGTACTGGCTTATGTTTGACAAACACTGGTACAGAGTAAGATTTTTCCACAGAGTAATTTTCTTTCTCTCTTAAGGTATCCAAGTCCACCCATGGGATCTGTCTCAGCACCCAACCTGCCTACAACAGAAGAAAATATGGAATATGTACGGACTCTCTATGATTTTCCTGGGAATGATGCCGAAGACCTGCCCTTTAAAAAGGGTGAGATCCTAGTGATAATAGAGAAGCCTGAAGAACAGTGGTGGAGTGCCCGGAACAAGGATGGCCGGGTTGGAATGATTCCTGTTCCTTACGTTGAAAAGCTTGTGAGATCCTCGCCACATGGAAAGCATGGCAATAGGAATTCCAACAGTTACGGCATCCCAGAACCTGCTCATGCATACGCTCAACCTCAGACCACAACTCCTCTACCTGCAGTTTCCAGTACTCCTGGGGCAGCGATCAACCCTTTGCCCTCTACACAGAATGGACCTGTCTTTGCAAAAGCAATCCAGAAAAGAGTACCCTGTGCTTATGACAAGACTGCCTTGGCATTAGAGGTAAAATTTTGTGGTTCCTTTGACTTTGGGTTTTCATTTTTTAGTTTTAGGTTCTGCAAAGTAATGTCTGCTCAATTAAAGTTACATTCATAGGAATGAGAGAACTGGGTGATTTTGGAAGATACACTGTTAGTGTTTTACGATTCTTTTTTTTTTACCACTAGTATAGTTTTCGTGCCTATTAATTTTATAAAATACTGGGTTTCAGGGCAGGAGTGGTAGTGCATCCACACATGGGAAGGCTGAGGCAAAAGGATCACAGGATCAAGCCCAGGTCAGCCTGGGTGACTTCAGTGAAACTGTCTCAAGATAAAAAAAGGACTGGATATGTGGATTAGTGTGAGGGCCCCAGGTTTAATCCCCAGTACTACAAAAAAGGGGGGAGGGCTTCAGTGCAGTATTTTCTTGGATGCACATATTTCGATCAGAACTGTCCCCTCAGAATTCCTCTCTCCTCCTCTCTTATTCTTTTCCCCTTGTCTGATAGTCACTACTTTCATTCGATTCTGCATATTAGGGGGAAAATACTTTTCACGGACTGTCCTTCATATTACTTGTTTCTCCCACATTCTCCACCAGCTCGTGCTTTTTTCTGCTCCCAAAGCTTTCATAGCTTTATTTCAGCAGTTGTTGATTTTCTTTCCAGTAAGGAGAGATAATTAGAAAGACCCATGACCTGGAGGAATGTCAGCATGCAAATGCATAGCCACTTACATGAATCCATATTTCTAACATTGTGATCAGTTGAGGAGAAATAGGAATAAATATCTTAGAATTTATTTTCAGTTAGGCAGAGAAGTGATTGTAAAATATTATCAGGCCTTGCTTGTTATAGATTTTATAAATTATAATAGCATGAAATAAAATTTGAACTTGAATCACTAAGTCGTTTTCTTTCAACTAAACATTAGCTGATTTTTAAAAAGATTTCAATGCTGAGTATTTTTCTATGGCTTCATCATATTTTTAAAAAACCCTGAAGATGAGTGTTGATGAGCTTATCAGTGGGGGCTGTGTGTCTCAGAAAGTGGATGTCCGTTGAGACAGTTGATAAGCCCAGATGAATGACCATATATGAGCACAAACCCTGTGGTGGGCCTCAAGATAAAAAAGGGACAGATCTGAAAAATAGATTTTAAGACTTTTTTGGTCATTAGTTTTGTTGTTGTTGTTTCTTATTGAGGTATAAAATATGTATGGTTAGATGGGTCCCGAATATCAAAACACAGGACTGGATATCAGAAATCCCAGCTCTTTCACTTCACGTTTACTCTTCACCTCCAAGCTTTTCTGCCATTACCTGTGAATGCAGATTGCTCTGGTTTGCTCTCTTCAGTAGGCTTTGTGAGGACCAAATAAAATGATGCTTGTTAAAATGCTTTGTAAGCCACAAAGTGCTGTATAAATATCATAATATGATTATAGTTAAATACTCTCACTTAACATTAACAAACTGTATATGTGTTAGAGAGAAAGAGATTAAGTTAGTGATAGTTTGCTGTAGATTCACCACAGGGTCCAAATGGAGAGTTGAGAGATAGCCCTAGCATCACAGAAAGATGAATGGAGTCATTTGCTTCAAAAAAGCAAAACTCAACCTACAATACAGCCTGCACACAGTTAAAAGGAATAATGTGTATTATGTATTATCTTTCCATTGGATGTCCTCAATTTTCTTTGGACGAAGAGTAATAATCTGAACTGTACCTGAAAGTTCATTTTAGAGTTGGTATTACATTTCCCCTGATTTTGGCTGTAAGGAAAAAGACTCAGTGCCTGAAGCTTGCAGCAGGGGCCAGAGACTGGGAAGGACCCAGGTGCTTTTCTACATCTCAGCAGAACAGGAAAGAAACCAGAACAACCTCCACAGATAAAAGAGTCATGGCTGAGCAGGCCTTCACCAGTTTTCTCACTCCCACACAGACTTCTTCCTATATATAAGTGTATACCTCTGGCCAGGTCTGCCCCTTAGTATCTTTGAGTAGCACGGATTCTCTGGACTATTTTTGGCAGTACTGGGGATTGAACCCAGGGTCTTTGCACTAAACTGCATCCCTGGCCCTTTTTATTTTTTATTTTGAAACAAGGTCTTGCTAAGTCACTAAATTGTCCAAGCTGAGCTTGAACTTGATGATCCTCCTGTCTCAGTCTCCCAGAGTGCTGGGATTACAGGCACATGCCACCAAACCTGGCTGCTGTAGACTCTTAATACTGTCCAGTTTATATAGTACTTCCAGTCTTTTGAAGCGTTTGCACTTCTGTGATCTTGGCAGGGTTTCATTGTGTGTGATTTGTGTGTCAGGTGGTTAGTTGTTGGCACACCAGGCTGAGACTCTGAGGGTTGAGGCACCCAGTGAGAATTTCAAGCACCTGTCTGTTCACTTGTGGTTCTAAGATAAATTTTAGCGACCTGTATTGTGTGGATGAATGTGTACAAGGAAGTTGTTGAGGGATCACTTAGAGTAGTGATGGCAAACCTTTTAGAGCTTTCAGTGATACAAACAGCCTGCTGTGACATCCATGCCATTGGTTTCCCATTACTGGCTTAGAGTTTGGTGAGTGGGCAGGTAAGTAGGTACCTAACAGACTAGGAGTAAGAGAGCCTAATTAATGATGTGTATGTTAAGAGAATCTTCATACTTGGCTATTATGTAGCTCTCCTACTCTCTCAGACCCCCGGAGAGAGGTCTCTAGCCCAGAGCCGCCTCATGGTACTAACCCAGCCATCTAAGCTTCATCACAGGCTTTTTAGTGCCTTCCTGAGAGAGTCAAAAGGAACCCAATAAATAGACCTTTGCACCCTCTACTTAATGGTATTTTTCTTTCTGTGTATTTAAATGAGACTTTGGACTCTAACATAAGTAAATGTTTCTATGGTTATGTTATCTTTTAAAACTATGAGGACAATGCTGCCTGTCTGATATTATTAAAAACAACTTTTGGGGGCAGGGATATAGCTCAGCAGCACAAGTGCCTGCCTGGCAAGTGCAAGGTCCTGAGTTTGACTCCAGGTACCAAAAAAAAAAACCTCTTGGGACTGTCGCAATTAGGTTACCAGAAAGTATTAAAATTAAAATGAGAAACAGGGAGACAAGTAGGACAAAATGTGCCAGTAATTGAAGCTTCCTTATTCCCCTTGACTGTTCCAGAGAAGAATGATAGCTTAGATAAACTGTATTTCTTAAATTAATTCATGTTTTCTTTCTTAAAATTTGATTTTTGAAAGCGTCTCCCCCACACACACAGCAGAAATTTTTAAACTGGTCTATGCTTAGCCATTTTCCTCTCTTGCTTCAAGAAGTGAGGTGATTTGAGGTTTGATTCGAAAGGAAACACTCAGTGACCTGTGTAAGGTGAACCAAGCTGGGTGTCCCTGCTCCTTGAAAACAGTAGAGCTCTCTCCAGTCTTTGTAGTGGGACTGGAAGGGTTCCTAGAAAGCAGGTCACACCCTACAAGAAAATTCGTAGGGTCTAGTGCCGTAGGTCAGTGACAGGACACTTGCCTAGCATGTGCGAGCTCCTGGGTTCAATCCCAGTACCAAAAAAAAGGGAGGAGAAGAAAGGAGGCAAGAAAGAGAAGAAAAAAGAAGTTAGGTTGAGGAAACTAACCCTTTCCAGAGGACCACTGACCAGGAGAGAATGCTTAGAGCAAAGTTGCTGTTGTGGTATAAAATACCTGTAGTCAATGTAGCATTCTTTGACACTGAAGATGCAAGCTGGTTAGGGAAATACCGCAGACCTGTGTTCAAATCCTACCTTTTACTGGTGTAATCTTGAGCAGGTTACTTAAATTCTCTGAGCCTCACCTAACAACAACCTAGCCTAAGAGTTGCTGTTTGTCTGGGCATGGTGGCACACGCCTGTAATCCAGCAGGAGGATCACAAATTCAATCCCAGCCTGGGCATTTTAGCTACTTAGTGAGACCGATCTCAGAACAAAAAAGGGCTGAAGATGTAGTTCAGTGTGAAGAACCTGCCTTCAATCCCCAGTACTATACCACCAAAAAAAATTGATGTTTGTTCATTAATTACCATCCATGTAGCCAGCTAGTGAGGTACGTGTACCAAGGAGCTTACCACTTAGTGAAAGAATAAAGACTGAAACCAGCAATGTGAGTAGGAGGGAGAGTGGAGAGGTAGGGCTGGGGGTAGGTAAGCATTGGTCTGGGAAGAAGATTTGAGGGATGAGCATTAACTGGGGAAAGTTGGAGAAAGTATACCAAGCCAGGAGACCGGAGTAGCTGCAGGTATATGAGCACTGGGCATGCAGGAAAAGGACAAAAGTAGCAAAGAAAAAAAACAGGAGAAATGGACTTTTTTCACAAAAGAGCCAAGGTTTATCAAGTGCTCTTTATGTGGCAGGCAAATATTTTTTGTTTTGTTTTGTTTTGTTTTAGGTTTTTGTGTTTTTGAGACAGAGTTTCACTATACAGTTTTGACTGGCCTTGAACTCGCTTTATAGCCCAGTCTGGCCTTTACTTGCAGGACTTTGGGATATGATCACCAGTAATCCCAGCACTCCAGAGACTGAGTTCAGCCTCCTATGTGTGACTTCCCTGAACTACATAGGGAAACCCTATCAAACAAAGAAACAAAAGATTTTAGTCCATGAAGATCTTAGAGCACAGTCTTGTAAGGCAGTGTGTCCTGGATTGAATGGCTCTGGTCATTGACAACTTTTTTTTTTTTTTTTTTTTCTTTTAAAGAGAGAAAAAAGTAAACTTTCAAAACAAGATAATAGGGTAACAGTGGTTAATACCTTGTGTATTGTTACCTTTAAGTTAGCTACTCGGAGTACAAGATATATGCATTTAATTGTCCAAACAATATTAGCACAAACTTTTATTTTCAATGAACTAAAAGAGAAATTAAGTAGTGTAACGATCTTAACTATCTTGTGTGTGTATGTGTTTTGTTTTTGTTTTTTGCTTTTCCCTTCTTTTCTCCTGGTTAACAACTTCGTGTAGCTCTAGCTGTCTATCAGTGAGAAGCAGTTGACA